CAAAAAAATAGGTTAAAATTGAAAATTTGGACTGATTATTTTTAACATATTAAAAATCAAATCAGTAATAATTTGAAAACAAATTTTTTTTTCTTTTAATTATTATTTTATATATATAATTAGTAATAATATAAAAAATTAGAAGTGATAGAAATAGTCTTAGTGCAGATTTGAAAACAACGCGAAAAGTTGATTTAGAAAAGTATATTTTTGCTTCTGATGAAAGTTCCTTGTAGTCCAGTGCATTTTTTTATAGTAACAAACAGTTTTTATTGAAAATTATTGTATCAAGCCCTTTAAATTTTTATACACGTAAAAGTAAAGCAAAATATAACTTCTTTATTATTTTTATAATTTCCCCGTTTAAATTACAATATTAAATTATTGAATATCAATTTCATACTAAATTTAATAATTATAATTAGTATATATTCATATATTATATTTTAAAATCAAAGAATTACTAATCAGGATATAATTAAAGAAATAAGAGTTGATGTTGCTTTTGGAATAATCCACCAATTTCCTACTTTAAAAAAAAAAAATTTGGTTGGGAATTTTATCTGCTATTCTCCAAAATTACACCTTTGTTGACTAGAATGAAACATTAAATAAAAAAATTTTATGAGAATTAAAACAATGTTATTTTTAAGATTAATATGTCGTCAGGAAATTTTATAATTACTATTTACAGTATATTTATCAGAAAAACTCATTATTTTTTTGCATTTTTATCGTAATAGAACACCTAAATAGAAATCATAGTATCATTTCTAAGTAATTTTTGGTATTTAAAAAGATTCTACAATTGAAATATCCAGAACTGAATTAATTTTAATGATTTACTTTAACTAAAAAAAAAAAAAATTATTTTGACTCCCTCTTGTGAGCATTTAAAGGGTTAGATTTATTTATTAATTTTTTTTTAAATTTAAGTATATTACATAAGCTTTAATTTAATATATATATAAAAGTGTCAGTCATTCCGGAACATTTTCAAAAGTTATGTTGAAAAAGTTAATTTTTTGTGAAAAAAGTTGTCATTTTAAATCGCCCCTTGTGGGCAGGTTAAGGGTTAAATTTATGAAAAAAATATACCAAACGAAAGGTAATGATATTACACACCTATATAAAAAAGAATTATATTGATATGTTCATTTTTGAAAAAGTTATAGCACTTTTAAGTAAAAAAAATTGAAAAAATTTCGAAAATTAGCGATTTTTAAATTTGTAATTTTTTTGGAGGTTTCCCCCTTTTACGGGGAACGAGGGAATTTTTTTCAATTTTTAAGGGTAATGTCTTCGACTAGATACGATTTGTGATCTTTTGACGTATCATTGAAAGAAATCGGTTCGGTGAGAGCTGAGAAAAAGTGGTAAGACACAAAAAAAAAATAAACACATCATAGTAAAATTAATACCTTCTCAGCTTCGCATCGAAGCTAAAAACACATCATAGTAAAATTAATACCTTCTCAGCTTCGCATCGAAGCTAAAATAAAATAAAATCGAGAATTTTCACACAAAAATAGCATTTGGTAGCCATTTTCACCGTGAAGATAAAATAAAGTCCGAAATTTTTTTTTCGCATAATAAAGTAAATTACATTAGCTTTCATTTAATATATATATAAAATTGTCAGACTTTCTGGAACACTTTCAAAAGTTAAGTTGAAAAAGTAAATTTTTAGTGAAAAAGTTGTCATTTTAAATCCTCCCCTGTAGGTAGGTAAAAAGTCAGATTTATAAAAAAAATATACCAAATGATAGGTAAAGATATCATGCATCTAAAAAAAAAGTTATATTGATCCATACATTTTTCAAAAAGCTATAGCATTATAAAGTTAAAAATTTAATTTAATTATTTTTAGAATTAATTAAAAAATTGGAAAATAAAATAAACATTTAATTTTCCAAATTTCTAATTAAAAATTATTAATTCATAGATAAATTATATTATAATTTATCTGTATAAATCACATATAATTCAATAGATAATTTGATGTTCCTTACATTTGGTAATGTTGGCTTAGAAATTGTCTGTCTACGTAATGGTTTCCATACTCCCATTGGTTTCATAAATGATAATGATGACTGATCTGCAATTGTATGTCTCCTATGTTGTTTTCTTAAAGAATGAAAATTTTTAGGTGATGAACCCAGTAATTCTTCTTTTTCTACATTAAAAAATTTAATTAACTAAATTTAATAAAAAAATCTTTAACATTTTGAAAATAGTTAAATATTTAAAATAGCTGTTTATTATAATCCTGTTGTATAATATTTAGAGAAAATGTTGAATTATTAAAGAAAAACTTATTGCAAAAATTTTTTAAAATTTATTATAATAATACATTAAAAAATTTGTTAATTTTAATCAATACTACTAATAAAAATGATAACTAAGAAAATAAATGTTGTGATAGATGCTTTTAGCAGAATTTATTAACATAATTTACCCACATAGTTAAAAATATAAATTTAAACCATTACCTATTTCAGATAATTATTATTTTTAGAATTTATACGAGCACAATAGAATGAGAGATATAAATTATTTTTCAATATTAATATTAGATTACTCTCTAATCTAGCTTAATATTAGATAAACCGATATCTAATTTATCGTACTGTTAATTTTTTAATGATTAACTATAAGCAAAAGCATTCAAAAAAGAAAATCATGCAAAATGTTGCCAAAATTAAGTAGAAAAATACATTACCTTAATTCATTTTCACAAAAATAATGATGATAAGAATTTTTAAATTGCCTTAATAATGCCAATAAAAAATAAATATTAATTGTCTAATAAATTGCTATATTATAGTATAAAAAAAATAATTTCTGTACAAAAAATATGTATAAGTATTTACAAAAAAAAAAAAAATAAGTAAAAAGCTTTTTATTACAAACTAAAAATAATTAAATAAACAAAAAAGTTTGATTTATGTGAAATTTTTATTTACATAATATAAATATAATTAATAAGTTTAGTCCCTCTAAATAGTTGAAGTTCTCATGTATGCAAAATTTTTAAAAATAATAAAAATTAAAATTAAATACATCAAATTTTTACTATAAATTTGGGGCAATTTATTTTAATAATTTATTTTAAAATTGATTTTTATCAAAATTTAAAAAACAAACTCCAAAATTAGGGTAAAAATTATTTTTTATAAATTAAGATTTGTTATGTATTGTTTTGTAAAAGTCAAATATAATCCAGACAGATGAAAGTTAAATATAAGAAATTTTTTAAGTAAAAAATAAATATAGAATAGTAAATAAAAATTGTATTGAATTAAATAGATAAATTATTTTAAATCTCAGGTTTCAAAAATTGTGTATATTTCTAAGGTATTTTCAAGATATTAAACAAGATTTTCTTTGTGTAATTGCATCTAATTCATAAGGACTATCACAAATGAACTGGTTTGGGTCACTACCTTTACTTGTTTTAGCTGTAAAAGTTAAATTATCTTGACTACTTGTTGAACTCTTTTGATCATCTTCTTCTTCTTCAGAATCTGAACTCTGAAATTGATAAAACAAATAAATAAAAAAATATTAAAATTTAAAAATGTGTAAATTAATGTATATTTTGGATAATTTTTATACCATTATTAATAATATTAAACTATTCTCCTTGTAAGTTTAATGTCCTCTTTTAAAGTTATACTTCTATTAAGGAGGAAAACCTACATAACTTCGTCCAGTGGAATCGATTCTGGGTTAACTTACTCAATGGAGCATAATGTGTTTCGAACTGAGATAATTATATAAGTAATTTATTTATTGCAAACCACAATGTTTGTTGTTTGATCAGTACTTTGGAAGTTATTAACATTTTTATATCTGAATGAGATAGTTATACAATCAACAAGTGACTAAAGATATACATAGTCATACCTCACTCCCTAGTCTATATTTTAAAATTGTCATAAATTATGAAGTACTGGTCCAAAAGTTGTTCTTAACTTGTTATTTTCTTAATTAGATAATTTCCTATTTCATAATATAGTTAAATATCTAAGCTTCAGATTAAAAAAATAAAGTTGAAACCTCATGAGTTTTAAGGGATGAAGCTAAAAAGTTAATGAGTAGTTAATAATTCAATAGTTATATCTAACTAAAGAAAACAAAACATTTTTTTTCCAATATTGTATTTATTTTGCAATTAATTAAATGGTTTACCCTGAATGATTGTTATGTCTATAGTAGGAGTCACTAAACAATTCAAAATTCAAAATGGAAGTCTCAAGAATAAAAATATTGAAAAATACTGATTTATAGCATTTGTACCTAAAGCAAAATTAATTCCAATTTCCTTTATTATTCTTGATTAGTAGTTCTTAGATTCAAAAGTATAATATATGAATAAATATATATTGTAGCAATTAAATATAGTATGAAATTGATATTTAATAATTGAATATTGTGATTTTTTGGAGAATTTATAAAAATTATAAATTAGATATAACATTTATGTCAAACGTGTATGAAAATTGAAGGGTTTGACACAAAACTTTTTAGATAATAATTTGTTAATTATGAATAAATGGTCTGCAATAAATTTTCATCAGAGCAAAAAATTAACTTTTATTGTTTAATTTTTCGTGCTAATTATATATCAGCAATTAAATGTTTTCCATCACCAATAATTTTTGATATTATTACTAATTAGATAAAAACTATAATATATAACTATAAAGAAAATAGTTCTGAATATTTAAATTATATCATCTATTTAAACACCAAAAGTTACATAAAAATTATTAATATTTCTTTTGAAATGATTTATTACAATAAAAAATAATTAAAAACACATATCATTTGTTTTTAAATTATAACAGATTTTGATTTTTAATATTTTAAAAATAATCAGTGCAAAATAACATTTTTAACCTATTTTTTTGGTATTTTTAAGTTTATAAAAAAAAAATAGTTGAATTTGATACCATAATTTTTAGCTCAATTTCAAGTTTAAAATTTACATTATTAAATAGAAAATGTTATGAGAATTAAAAAAATAGTACTGTTAAGATTAATCATTAAAATCATAGTAATCATTTCTATGTAAATTTTGATGATTAAAAATATTTTACAATAGAAATATTCAGAAGATAATTTATTTTAATGATTTACTTTAACTAAAAAAACCAATAAAAAAAAGTTGTTAAAAAAATCTACTCAATTGATTGTATTATAAATATTATGATTATAATTGTAAAACTTTTTTGTTAAATTCAGGTGAAACTATAATTATTCCTTTTAGAAATTATTTATATAACAACTTGTTACCAAACAATTTGGAATATTATTGACTCTTAGTAAAATACACACATAAAGTTGAAAAATTAATAAATTACTAAGCAAAATTATTTAATTTTGTAGTTGAAACCTTTTATCATACCTAATTCGACGACAAATATTTTAAAAAAAATGGAAATGAATGATTTTAATTGTCTATATGGAAAATGTGGGCTAAGTAACTTTGTAATTGATAAAGTGGAAATTTTTTCAATTTTTGAGGGTAAAATCTTTAACTAGATAGTAGTTGAAATTATTTGATGTATTTTGAATAAAAGTTGATCAAGTGAGAGCTAAGAAAATAAATGAATCACAAAAAAAACCATATAGTAAAAAAACTTTATTGTGAATAAGAAATTTCTTCAAACGAGGGGTGATTACAGTGATGGGGTTATTGGTATTCATTTAAGTTATTGAATTTAAATGAGATAAAAATCAAATGAGTTAAACAATTTTTTTCTAACTCAAAATCTTTTGTAATGTCTTTTAAAATAAAATAAAATACAAAATTGAGAATTTTAACACAAAAATAGCATATATTTGAATAGGGTAATCATTTTCACCATGAAGACAAAATAAAGTCTTACTTAATATTAAAGAACATTACATAAGCTTTAATTTAAAATATACATAAAAGTGTCAGTGTTTCGGAAACACTTTTAAAAGTTAAGTTGAAAAATTAATTTTTTGTGAAAAAGTTGTCATTTTAAATTCCCCCTGTGGGCAAGTAAAGGGTCACATATAAAAAAAAAATATACCAAATGATAGATAAAGACATCATACATCTATAAAAAAAAGAATTATGTTGATTCGGTTATTTTTAAAAAAGTTATAGCAATTTTAAGTAAAAAAATTTTCGAAAATTTGGGATTTTTAAATTTGTAATTTTTTTGGAGGTTTTCCCCATTTATGGGGAATGAGGGAAATTATTTCAATTTTTGGAATAATGTCTTTTACTAAATACGATTTGTGATTTTTTGACGTATTATTGAAAGCAATAGGTTCGGTGAGATCTAAGAAAAAGTGGTATCAATCACAAAAAAAAACGCATCATAGTAAAATTAATACCTTCTCAGCTTCACATCAAAGCTAAAATATTAAAAATTTTTATTTACCACTAAACGAGCTAATGCAGAAAAATCAACTTTGATAAGTTTGCGTTCTTTATTAGAATCTAGCATGTTTTTAATTGAATTGTTCATTGTTACATCTTCCTCTGGATTTTTCTTTAAAAAATCATCATAGTGAACTAAAAGAAATATTTAAAAGTTAAAATATTAAATATAAAAAAAAAAACATTTAATTTTAATTTAAATACTTTTGGATTTATTCAGCCGGGAAGAACTTGGAGGACTTGATGTTGATCTTGTAGATTTAATGTTTCGTAGTGAATTTCCTAAAAGAAGCATAAAATGCAATAATGTAGCATAACAATTGTTAATAAACATTTTTTACTAGTTAATGAAGTAGAACGTAATTTAACATTTCCACTTTTAATACATTCTAATAAATGTTCCCTGGGTGAAAGTTTATCTTGTCGCTTGGGAGCTAATTTTCTCTCAGCTGCCTAAAATATAAACAAAATTGTTACTTATCTTTTTTTTTTTTTTTTTAAAGAAAATTTGTGGTAGTTTTATTAATATATTTATAAATACTGCATAAAATCAATTATAATAAAAAATTTGTAATTTTATTATAAATAAATCTTACACTTTTTAAGGGAGGTCTAGACCTAATAAATTCAAGAATAGCATCATGAGCATCTCTTTGAATTCTTGCAGGAATCTCAGGTGGAGTTACTCTTTTTAAAGTATATCTCCTAGATCTTATATCATCCATTAACATTTCATATGGAGTTAAAGCATATTCAACAAATTCACCTCCTACATGAGGTCTTCGATCAACTTTTTTTAGTTGAACACCACGTCGGAGTTCACGAATTAATTGTATCCATAAGCGCGCCTGTAATTAAAAACATATTTAGTAATATACTACATAATAAAAATTGAAATTTTATAAAATTAAAATTATTAATAATTACAATCAAAATGAAATAAAAATGACTTTTGACAAAATTTAAATAAATAAATCTTATCTTAAGATTGTTAACTCAATTTTTTAAATGATAATAAGTTGTTTTCTAAGAAACTTCATAATGTATAAAAAATCAAAACATACTTGCATAATACTCCATTTTCTGCGACTAGACAGCTTTGCAATGCAAAAGTATATTATATACCAAATTAAATACACTTGTAATAAAGGGTATGTACAATTTATTAACATAATATTGTTTGAATAAGATTTTTAGCAAGTACTTGAAATATTTAAATTAATATGATACAAGTAGTAGTAACTAGGGATGTGAAAATTTTATTATGGTTTAAATAATAATTTACATTTATTATTGAAAGTAGTGCATTTTTTATAATAAATAATTGCTAATTTTTAGCTTTGATGCAAAGCTAAGAAAAGTATTAGTTTACCATGTATTTTTTTTTGTCCATGAAATTTTCAGCTGTCATTGAAACCGATTTTGTAAATTTATGTGTTAAAAGAACACGTTTTCTAAATAGTGAATCATTGCCAAAAATTAGAAAAAACCTCAAATTTCAAAAATAAGAAAAATATCTCAAAATTAAACTTTATTAAAAATGGCTTTTTCAAAAAAATTGTCTGTATTTTAAAACTACTATAACTTTATTTTAAAAACACTGATCCTAATGAAATTTCAAAGGAATATACTACAGATAACAAGCTTACTTTTGGTAAGCTTTTTATGAAAATCCAACAAAAAATTTAATACTAGAAAAGTTTTACCCACGTATGACAATATTTTTTTAAAGTCAATTTATTTATATGATCTGAAACGCCTGCATTCTCAGGACATATACTAAATTAAAGCTTAAAACATCCCAACTATTTAAAAAGCCTTTAATTTTTAGTGAAATTTTAAAACATCACAATTTGTAAAATTACACAAATAAAAATTATTGTTCAATTTAGTAAATACTCAATGAAGTAATTTTTATAATTTTGATTTTAATTACTATCAAATATCATCTATTATTATATTATCACCACTATGCCGCTTTCCAACTGTGCTGGTGTTATCCTTTTTATTTTCATAATAATTTTATTTTTATGTATGGTTAAAAAAAAAAATATGTGTACATCCCATTATAAGTCAAATAAATATTGAATCTTTAAACTAACTATGCTGTATAAAATGCATACAAATTTTAATCTAAATTATTGTGTAAAAGTTGATATCTTAAACATTTTTAAGGAATTAATAAACTAAGCAGTGATGTGCATAAAAAAAAAATATTAATCTATATATTTTTTTTTTTTACTTATCAAATATATCAGATTATAAATAAAACAAAATCACATAGCTTTAGTAATAATCAATCAAAGATTTTTAATATTTTTAATAATGGTTAAATTAATTATTTTTAATGTACTAATTAAGAACGTATACTTCTATTCTAGCTTTATTCAATAACCAATAAAAATAATAATAACCTATAATGAACTTTTCTTTTTTTTTATCTTGAATAAACTTAAAAAATCAATACTCCAAAATAATAAAGTTGAAATATAAAAATGTAAAATGAAAAGAATCAAATTTCAAATATTTAATAAAACATTAAACATAAAAATACATAATTTAAAAAATAATAATGTTGAACTTACCCAATCACTATAATCTAATGTACTTAATTCTGATGAACTTGAATTTCTATGTCGTAAACAAACTGAACCATCTGATAATTTATTTAAAAATGAAGATAGTTCTAAAGCTTCTGCTACTAAAGCTCTACATACTGCTTTATAGTGTGTTTCAGAACCTAACCCTGATATTCCAATATGTTTGCTACATTCCTGAAGATAAAATTACATAATTTGTGCATATTATTCTAAACATTTTAAAATGCTAATTTGTTTTCATAAAATAAAAAAAAGGTCTTATTTTATTGGATATAAAAATATTTAAGTAATAAATAGTATTTACTTCTAATACATCATCAAACGTGGTGAGATTATTTTGTAAGGTTTCTTCACATTCAGCTGAATCTCTTTCAATTCCTTCATCATCAGTTTCTCCAGATTGGCCTTGGTCAATAGATTGAGCATCACAGCTATATTCAACTGACAAAACACCCACATTAATATAAAAAAGTTATCATATTTAAAATAAGACAATAATAATTATTTTAGAATATAATAAATCCTTAAAAAACTTTTTTTTGGGTAACATAATTTTTAGGAATCAATAATTTGTTGACTTAAATATACTTAACATTAAATTTTAAAAAGTTTTTACCATTTATAATTGAAAATTAAAAACTACTGTAGTTAAATAAACTATTTATATATTCTAAATTTACTTACAAGAAGCAACCATTCGTTTTATAAGAGATTCTAATTCAGGATTCAATGATCTTTCTTCATCCTCATCAATACCAAAGTCTAAAACTTGAAAAACTATGTATCCCAAACTAGCTATTATCTATAATTATGATATTCAATATTAACAATTACATTTTTTTTTTTTTTAAATCATAATTAACATTTTTTATATACCACAACTATCATTTATTATACAAATTAGATAATATCATTTTTAATTGATTTAATTATTGAATATTATGAACTACCTCTTAAATATTGTATCCTATATTTCATATGGATACATATCAAATGTGCAAAATACACATATATATTTCATTTTAGTTATATTTGTAGTTTTAATTTTTTTTCAATTTGAAATTACCATCATTATTTAATGAACATACATATAATACCAATTTTTAAATATAGTATGAAATATGGTGTTTCTAACTTTAATAACATCTTTATTAAAATTCAATATAATTAAACATTAAATAAAGGTAATAATTAAATTTTAAAAAAAAACAAATTATTGTATTTAGGCATTAAACTAATGATGTTAACTACTGGAATAAAAATTGAAATAAATTTTTTTCAATAATTTGATAAGTAAACTACTATAAAGAAGTTGGACAGTCATTAGTTTTTAATTATCATCACTATTAAAACTACATTTTTGTTTTTAAATTTTACATAAATAAATCTTTAATATTTAAATATTGGTAGAAAAATTATTAGCACAAATAAATATATTACTAATGACTTGACAAAAAATAATATCTGACATTTTTGCAATAATAACATTCTGGTAATGTTTAATTCATCTTTTCCAAAAGAATATAATTTTATATAAGTCTATCCAACATACTAAGATTTATTTTATACTAAAATAATAATTAATTTTTTTATTTAACAAATCATATCTGCTTATAAACCCGATAATAAGGACTGTTTAATTTAATATACACTCATTTTGTACATTATCATTGAAGATTTTACATTTTAAAATGTAAAAGTTTTTTTTAAATCTCATAATAAAAGTTTATAAATAAATAAAAATAATTGTTTAAAAATATATAAATCAATTTTCAGTCTATTGTGAAAAATTTATTCATTTAAATTTATTTTTTATTAATTACATATTACTAAATAATCAGTTATATTAAATAAAAACAATGTTAAAATATTAATAAATATTTAACATAAATAAAAACATATCTCAATTGTTTCATGTAAATGAATGGATATTATGAGAAGGTGGTCATGTTGAACATAGTAGCTTTCAGGAGACAAAAATAAGAAATATTATAACCCAATAATAAATGTTTTATCAGTTTAAAATAATAATATTATAAAATTTAACCAAAATTTGAAAATAAGAGCTGTATTCCCAAATACAGCAGAATATTCTCAATAAAAGTGAATAAAATAACCTTAGAATAACAAAATTTCACTAGATTATCTTTTTGCAAAAAATTACCATAAAAATCTAAAATTATTTAGTGGATATTTTACTATCTAATTTGTCTGTAAATGTGATATTATTGAAAAACTTACATGTTTCTTCAGAACAGTTTTTTCATCATTTGCATTGCCATGTTTTTCTATATTTTCAAAACTTGCAGCTAAAATATAAGAAAAAAGTTTATATAATAATTGATAAGGTAAAAATCAATTAAAACTATTAAATCAAATAACGGTAGAATGAGATTTTGCTTCTAGCAAATGAAAGATATTGACATAATAAATAAAAATTCAGAAAAATTTACTGTTTACTATAAACAAATTATATTAATAATAGTATATATAAATGTAAACAAGTTTATTCCTAGTAGTATAAACTTCAGTATTTATTTAACAATTCTTCTTTTAAGAATAACTTTTCGAAACAAGTTATTTCAAGTTTATTCGTGTTAAAGAGAAGTCAAAATAAAATAATAAATTATATTAAATGTAATATAAAATCTATAATTTATTTAATTTTTTTAAAAATATAACGTGTAAAGGCATGTGTTCTGACTTCATGATTGAATTCTGCACAAATGAAATATACCATAAGAATTTATTTTTTACTTAATATTAATATTTGAACATTATAATGTTTTAGAAAATGTTATCCTTTAATTAACATACCATTATGAAAATTACAAATAAAATTTATCATAAGTTAATAAAAGTTATGAGTTATTAAATTTTTGATATTAGTTAGACCTAAAAGTAGTAAGTATATAAAGAATGTTTAGTTTGTCTATAATAATAACTAGATATAAAATGTTGAACTTAGAAAAAATCTTTTTAAAGTTGATAAAAACAATTTTTGTTATTATGCAAACTCTTTTTCAAAATAATATAATGAATTATTTGAAAAATAGAAAAAAATTATATAAGCATTATGTGAATATACTTAAATGCATATTAGGCAAATAACTTAATAACTTATATTTATTAATCTAAAGTTAGGGATATTTTAATTTCTGGATACATTAAACATATTTTATATCAAAGAAAATTATTTTTTCATCTTTTATTATCTGTTAAGACAATACTTATACTTTATATATTTATAAATATAAAAAAATCTGTCAGAAATATAAATTTTAAACAAATTTTAATGTAAATGTCAAATTTTACAAACAAAAACAATGTAATTAGACATACCTGTTTCAGAATTTCCAATGATAGTACAAGGATGTATGTATCCATCTTTATGTATACGAACTTCATTTAAATTTCTTACTACCCGACATTTACTAGGTTCATGTTCAAATGCATACTTAAAGCATTTAGTACATTGATAACATAAAGCCCATGCATGTTCCTCACTAACCGGGGTATTAAATGATTTTATTATATCAATTAAAGAAACACAGTCATCTTCATCCAATTTACACAGACAAGGTTTTTGAGTGTTAGAACCATCCATTTTATTTTATATACATACGTTCTAGAAGCACTATTGTCCAAAATAAAAGTTAAATTTCATCATTGTACAACTTGATTTTAATATGAACACAGTTCAAAATAAATAATTACCTAGAGTTATGTAGACACTTAATTATTAAACACAAAAAGCAAAGAACACCATCGCGTAAATGTTAATGTTATTAACACTGTGACTAAAAATGTTTATTTCCGTTACATAACTTTTTCAAACAAACGCATAAGAAATACAAAAAACAGTAACTTACTTAAATATCTCTTGCGATGTAAACAAGTAATTATTTTTAACTACAATATTAATGTTAATTAGATAACGACAAATATCGAAACGTCGAGTTGTATTCTTTCGTTCTTATTAATATTATTTTGTTAAGTTGTGATAAAAAAAATAATAATAATGGTAAAAACATACGACTGAAATATCAGTGTTTACTCTTTGAAAATATAAAACTATTGTTCAAAAAAAAGTTTTTACTTGCCTGGTTGTATATATTTGATTAAAATTTGAATATATAACATTTTTTGATCAAAAATTTACAAACACCCCCTTAAAAAAAATGGAAATAACAATTATCATAAAAAAAAAAAAAAATGTTTTGATAAATAATATTTATTTTAGTTGCGGCAGTTTTAGAAATTTCATTGCTCCGAAAAATTTTTCTCTATCACCTAAAATATTCCCCTTAATATGATACTGTTTAAGGGGATTTAATACATAAAATATACCTCCAATTGAATATTAAGATTGTAGTTAATTTTTATTAAGTAACAACTTGAATTAATTCATTACATTAGAAATTTATAATATAATGAAGTTAATCCTATTTACTATACTATATTCTGTTAGTCAATTAATTTTGTAAACTAATAAGTAGAAAAAATTATTTGAAATAATTTATCTATTATAACAATATTTTTTTATGATTTCATTAATAGAAACCAGGCACATACAAATCAAAGATGATACTTGAAAAATTTCCTTACATCTTGACAAATAATAAATATTTTGTTTTAGGAAAGTTATTAGCAAAAAATTAATCATGAGTATATTAGTAGAAAAAAAATATTAGAAGCTCGTCCCTCATTCTTTTAATTTAACTATTTTTTTAAGTTATACAAACCCATTAATAATTTTAATTGTTGGTACAAAATAATGCATTAAATGTATTGTAAACGATTTGTTTATTAAATTTGTTAAACCATAATATTTACTAAATAAAGATTTAAAAATATTTACTAATACATAAATTAGTTCTGCTTTTAAAAAAAACGAATGTCCTTAACTTCAAATTAAACTTTTTGTGAATTACATAATAATAAAAACAACTAGAGCGTCTTATCCACCACCCCACCCCGCACAAAAAAAATAATTTATGTATTATGTTAGCCATTTTATAACAAATATTAGTATAGGGCTTATGTTTTCACATAAGCCTATTGCCTATAATTAATCCTATCCCTATAAATTATCTACGCTTCACACAAACACCTTAATTTTTCAGAGGAGCGTTAAAATCGGTTATACACTCCAATATTTCTTATTAAACTTGTAAATTAAAATGTTAAAAATATTATTAGTTTTTTACAAAGTTATAAACTTAATAAATGTCTAATACTTAAATAAAAATTGATTGGAATATAACTAAAAAAAATTTTAATAGTTTTACAGAGTGAATAATTTTTCATGTATCGCTATATTTTTTTTTAAATAATAATAATATTAAAAATATTTTTTTGGTTTTATTGAGTAGTATTTATCCCTCGATTTAAAAGTGGCTAAATACTTTTTAAGTCCGACTTTTATCCCTTATAAGAGTAACATTTTTTTTTTTAATGGTAAAATATATATATTTACCTAGCTTAAAATATAAATTATTTAACTAAGAAAATTACTGGTCGATAATAACATTAAGACCAGTACTACGAAACTTAATAGCATTTTCATATGTAGCCGAGTGGAAAGTGCTACTGAGAAATGTCTAGACATTTCTATTATTAGGTAATGATGAAAAATAATCATTCTTGATATACTCATATTGAAAATGAATACTGAAATCAATCGATTCAAGTAGTAAAAGCGAAAAATTCTCATAATCGGCTGAATGATCTTAGATGTATGGTTCAGAGACTATATTGCATGAGAGAACACAAAGACTATTATCTTACACAATAGTAACTCAGATGTGTTTTCTCGTGGCCGGTGGTATAGCAATAAGTTTTTAAGCATATTGGCAACGTTGCTTTGATAAGTCTGTAGAATTAAAAGGGACGAAGCGTTAAAAACGTTCCTAACGCTTATCGATGCCACGTTGCCAATTTTTTCATTAAATTATATTATATTTGAATTTGCGTGTTTACTATATGGTTTGATTGTCTTCAGTATTCATTTGCTCAAATATTAGTAATCATTCAATTTTATTTTCCAAGTAATTTTTATGTTATCTAATATATTGTTTCCAACAGCTGAAAACGATTATTTGAATTTGTCACTCAAATAAATTAAAATTATTGCTATTAATAGACTTCCGGACAGTCTTTTTTTTTTTTATATGTTATCTATTGCCCATTAGTATTATAAGTAAATTAATTTTATCATATGTATGCTGTAAATAATGTCGGTTTAGTCAATTCGATACACATTCAAGCACCATTTTCACTACATTATTATTATTTTTTCTTCTATTTTTAGTATATATTCTTGTTATGTTTGTATGATAGTTTAAAATTTTAATTTTACACTTCATTTGAAACTGAATATATGTTGTAATTTACATTAATTAAATTATAGTTGAATAGTAATCTACATAAGACAATCAATCCCCATAAATATCAACAAATCTGTTATTTCATGATAGACAATTTTATTACCATTGTTATCTTTTAACTTATAACTTATAAATAATTAACTTATAACTTATAACTTGTACATTTTAATTTATAAACAAATTTCCTGTTATCTTTAATCAAATTGGTCATTTTTTTATTATTTCATTAATGTATTTCTTTGCTCTGTTTATAAATAGAGAATGTAAGATTTCATTTTGTTTTAATTATATTTACACATTTATTTTCTAAAGCTAGTAGGAAAAAATGTTGATTATTTTATAATCAATTGCAATACTTAACAAATATTTTGAGTAAATAAATTTATAAAAATTTTAATTATCGTATTATTATTACATTGAAAAAAGTAGTTCTGTGGTATTTTTAGAACTAGTAGGTTATAGATTTTCATTATATTTATGGGGTTAAAATAACACTAGTTTATAGTGTTTATTTGACTAGTGTATTTTTCGTTTTGAGGATATTAGTTAAAGTAAAACTTGAATTATAAATTTTTGTATTTCTTATTTTGACATGTTCAAAATAATGTATTAAATTCGACGGTTCGGTGTTGCTAAGTAAATTTTATTAGACTAAATTAGATCCATGATTATCTAACTTTATTGGTTGTAATTAAAACAACTACAATATTTTTTTGTGAGGAGATTGGTGATTATTTCATCAATTTAATGGTACTAATATCTAAAAAAATTGACGTAGCACTTCGTATTCTAAGGTATCTAAGATAACCAAACATCGACACACTTCTACCTTATTTAAAGTGTTCAACAGTCACATTTAATTTCGTGTTAAATATTATTAATCAAACAAAAATTATTAAAATTTCAATAAAAAATTATATAGAATAAAATTATGGATGTTTTTATTCGATAGTTAAAAAAAAATATTGAATATATATTGGATAGATAAAACAATTTATAGCGTCGTCATTAGTCAGTAATAAAATATTTCAAGTACATATATTTTTCAGTACCCCAAGACAAACGTTGAGAATCCACTACAACCTCAAAAAAATAATTTACGCTTTTATAATATTGTTTCAAGGGGTAAGCAAAAAATTCTTTTATGTAGTACTTATGTAAATTGTTAACATTAATATCAACCCATTTTTCAAATTCAAATCTAAAGAAAATACACTAAGAGCCTCGCAACCCATTAACTTAAAAATTTTATTTTATTTTATAACCATTTTTAAAAATAATAACCTATAATGTAGAAAATTAAAAAACTGAAAGCATAATAATTAATTATCAAACATCAAACAATTTAAATGGATAGGCATTTTTATGTACATAATATACAGAATGTTATTTATTACAAAGTAAAATACAAACACTTATAACTTTTAATATTTCATTTTTATAAAATAATTTCAATTATACTTTTATTACATTGAGTATAAACAATCTATTAATATGTTAACTCAACTAAAAAATAAACAAATATAACTTCTTAAAAAATAAAGAAAAAATGTATCTGTTAACAACATAATTTTATTAAGAGATTTTACTTGAGTTTTTTCTCCAGCATTTCCATATACCTAGATTCTGAAAAGATATAAACCATTTTAATATTAAAATCTTCAACTATCACATGGTAAATATTTTTTAGAATACAATAATTACCATTATCACAAAAAATTACATTCTTACCTCATGCCAAATAAAACTACACAAGACTTTTGTGGTATTACTAATGAAGGACATTAAAAAAAAAGCACGCAGCATATAATTTTACTTTAAGGAATTTTAAAACCAATGCTGTCTTGCATAAAATTTCCATATCACAGAGTTGATATAGAAATAATTAATCAATTTTAAAATTGGTAGATAAGCCAGGATTCCAAAATTATATAAGTTTTCATAATTAATAAGAGTTAATAATAATAGTGGCTTATACAACTTGATTCATAACGTGTTATACCCTGGAGTACAAATATAAGGTTTCAATTTGTTCAGCAAACTGTAGTAATAAACTTTTTTAAGTTAATTAGGTTACATATTTAAGATAATACTTATGATAAAAAAATCATGAATTGAAAACATTTCTTTAAATTATTTTAATTTATTTAATAACTTAAACAATTTTGATTATTATAATGTTAACATTTAAATAAATAAAACTTTTTTTAAACATATCATTTATAATTTTATATTTATTTTTCAAGTTAAAATTTTATAACAATATTATTGTTTTGTTCAGAAACTAAACAAAAATATTTTTCAATGAAGTTACAACATAATTAAAAAAACTATATCAATAAATATATTTTTTCTATAAATGTTTCAAAACTATTTAAAATTTCAAATTGCTAAAAAAAATAGATCTGTATATAAATAAAATTATAGAGTTCATTAATAAAGTGTAATTATTAATAAGTAACATTTTCAACCTCTAATAAAAATATAATAATATTATTTTGATTCTAAATAAATATATTTTAATACGGAAAACTTACCAAATCCCCTAAGGAAGTCCATATGTTCTCGATGCCTTCTTTCTTGAGCTCGAGCATTAACTTTTGCCAATTCAATCAAAGTTTTGGGTAGAATTTTTGCTAATACTTCAATTTCTGAACTGCAACTTCCTTGTCCACCATTTTCAATTTCATTAATTCTAGCCGCTTCCATATCTTCCATGACTACATGGAAAATAGAATCCATGGCTTCCATTTCATTTTGTATTTTAGCTGTCTGAATAGTAGTTTCCACTTCTGTACCCAGTCTTTTAGCCTTTTTTAAAGTTTTAAATCTATAAAAAAATCTATAGTTGAAGAAGTAATGAAATATTGAGTGCTTTGAAAAATATAAAAATTATAGAAATACAAAAACAGTCTAATAGTCAAATATTCTAATATCACTTAATTTTTACATAAAACAAATTATCAATTAAATTTTTAGATTTTTTAGAAAATAAAATCATTTTTAAATAAAGAAAGATGATGAATATTTTCAAATAAAAAAAAAATAGTTTGTTTATAAATTAATCAAAAATAATAACTAAAATTATTTATAAATATTTACAGAAGAAACTATGAAAATATTTTATTATTTTTTTCATCTTTAACATCTTCTCTAAAAACTATGCTAGTGTTAGAGGATAGGAAAATCTATATAGCTCAGCGCAACATAATCAAATCCTAGTACCTACACACAGATGCATGATGCTTTCTAGACTGGACTAAGTGGGTTATCTACTTATTAAAATTTAATTTATCTAATTTAAGAGAGTTATACTTCAATATTCTAAAAACAAATTACTTAGTCATGCATTGTGTTGGTGTTCTTGTAATATTAAAGGTATCACTTATATTTTTTGCTATTGTATTCCACATCTCTTTTTTGCTCTTAAAAGTTTTATCTTTGCCCACATCAGTGATATATTCTTTATAGCTACTTAGCATCAATTTTACTTCTTCTGGTTTCCATTCAGCTAATACATAGATATACAAAATCATTGAAATATAATTAAAGCTATTTAAACTGCTACGTTTTTCTAAATTTATAACCTAGAAAAATTCTTTTAAATTTACTTTAATAAAATAAAATTTTTAGAAGTTACATTTTTTTAAATATATTTACTTTAAAAATTTTAAATAATTTGATTTTTTTTTATTATCATTATAAATGTCATCATTAATTGAACTTGTGTAAAATTAGGTTTTAAAATTCTTAAAAAATTTGATTTTCTAATCAAAAATATTGATTTAACCTTTTTAGTAAAAGTATTTTACTAAAGGATACTAAATTTTGCACAGTATTTAAGTATAACTTTTACTAATTATATTATAAAAGTACTGAAAAAGTTATAACAAAATTTAAGTTTTTCAAAATTATTTTTTTTTTAAATTTTCATTATAATGGAAACTTACAATATATTGTAGTTAATTTTTTATATACTATTTTCAAAGCATAATATATTATTTATTATAGGCATATTTTTTCATTTTTAAAAAATCTATTCTACTATTATATATGATCAATTAAAATTATATTAATATTTAATAAAAAATTTGAATGATAAGATTACATATTTTTAACAAAAACTAATTAATAAAGTAATAAATTAGATTTATTTTATTTTATTCTATTTTAAAAAAGCCAAATAAAATCTTAAATTAATCATAATAAAATTTATTATTTATATATATAAGATTTATTAGTGCAATCATTTTAAATTAGTATCTTACTATTAAAATTAAAGATTTAATTGTAATTAAGTACTTATTAATTTTTTAATTATTATAAATAACCTTTAAATTTTTGAGTATTGTACAAATATATATATATATAAATATCTATGTATAATATCGGGCAAACCCTTATCTATGCACTGTATAATAACGACTGAGTAGACAATCTATAATTATTATAATAAATGACGAAAAAATTGTTATTCAAAACTTACTTAATGGACCATGCTGATTTCTTAATCCAGATTTTGAAGTAGAATTTGTTACATTTGAAGTACTTGGTTCAGCTTGATTAAATTCAGTATTATTTGATGAATTGTCTACAAATTGAAATTGAACTGTATTCATATCTTGAACCCCTATTTAGTCAGAAATGTGATATTACGATTTTTAAAAGTTTTACTTATTTGAATTTTAAGATAAAATAAATCATATTTAAGAAATATATACCATTAGTGTAAACAAATCTATATTGAATATTATCATCTATCATAGAAGAGTCATCTTCATGTTCAATAATTGTAACATCATCATCATCATAATTGTGAGTATTATCTAAAATAATTTTATGAGACATTATACTTCAGAATTCTGTAAAAAAAATAAAATAATAATAAATATACAGGAATTTAAAAAATTGTTAAATAAAAAGAAGTAGTTTTAAATAAGACACATTGAAAGGAACTTTTTAAATGTAGAATATAACCAATAAGGAATGCCAATTCTTTTTTGGAAGCAGATAAAATGGCAAAGCTGAGGGCTTCTTTTTTCATTTCCCTAATTATTTTATAATCATAAATCTTGTAACAAGTAAATGAATCTAAGAACTTAAGTTAAAAAATAAATCAGGTATTTCATGAATAAGGCATTTCATTGATTACAGGGAATTAATTTGCTAAAAAAAGGAAGTTTAAATAATGAAATATCTTAATATGATAAAATTTAAATTAAATTAAGAAAAGTTGTATCAATAAGAAATAAATAGAACTAAAGAAAAATATTCTGATTTCGGTTGATAATCTTTTTTAATGCAAGTCTATATTAATAATTATCTAAATGCAAAAATAAGGTAAAACAAATCGAATAATTATTTTAAGATGTCTAGATAGATTTTTTACAATATAGGCTTCACAATCTTGTTGAAAAAAATTTTAATTTAATATATTTCACAAAATTATTCTTTATTGTTTTAAAGATTTGTCATATTAACATTTTTTCACTTACTTAAAGTTTCTATTAAAATTAATGTTTATCGTTAAAGTCTCAAAGAAATATTTTTAAATTTATCATTGTTTAATTTTTTAACAGGTAATTTTAAATAATGACAAAACATTAACTTAATGAATAAACTTAAGGAATAATCTTAAAAAATATAAAAGAATATACTCTAGATTGATGCTAAGCACGGTAGTTTAATTTTTTTAAGACATTTAATAAAAATCATTAGAATAAATTAGAAATAAGTTCAACACCAAGAGAAATAAAAATTAATCCGTTATTGATATATTATATATATTAAGTTGTAGTATGTTATCAAATTATAACCATAACCCAATACTTATCACATGCTACGGACCCATGTGAAGATAACTTTCTGCAAGCAAATGTAAACAGTATTGTAAAATCACATAATAAGTGATTCTGAACTACTCTAATCTGTTCTGTGGTTAAATTAACAATAACTAATGTTTCTTTGTCTAAGATATCATTTACAGATTGAAAAATATACAATCAATATATTTTTTTTATTAAATCGATCATATTTTTGTCACTTGAACAAATTATAGGTAGTTAAAAAAGCGTAAACGACAATTTTTGCAAAAATGTAATATTGGTGATAAAATATTTCTAAATTATTAATAAAACGATGTGTTCATTAAACTTGACTTAAATTAAACTTAACGTTAACCTTAGTGTGTTTTACTACCGATAATATATCAAATTATCATTTCCAATTTTCGTTCTAATGTTTCAAGTTCAGAATTGATCGTTAAATTAATCTTTTTTCCAAAAAATACAGTAATAACCTATGTTAAACCGAATCGATAAAAAATCAATATTTTTATGCTCAGTTTATGTGGTAATTTAATTTACGATTAAGAAAAAATTTACTTACGTTCTTTTAACTTACTAAGGGTTGATATATATTTACTTTATAAATTATTCTTTTAACAAAATTGTTTATTTTATGAACAAAAGAAAAGATCGAGTGAATATTATCAATAAATTTATTGATTTTACAAGTTTTTTCAATGTGTGGTCGGAACTATTTACATTTACTTGGTTTATTTATACTTTTAAAAAAAATATCCTTATATTCAATTTATATTATAATTTAACCAGTGAAGTGTTTTCCAAATTAATAATTTAGTGTACACATATATCATTAACTTATGTAGAATCTATGTTTTAGATTATATGAATAACAGCAATTTTCTTATATAATAACATTTTTTTTTTGTATAATAGACTTTTTAAACAATTTTCTCCTAAATACACATGAATAATATAGAATTATTAACTAAGTTAACATACGTTTGTATATATATCAGTGGAATTTCCTGAGTTTCGTCTTAGGAGGAGATAACCTTTTATTTTGCTTACTAACATTTTTTTACTCTGTACTGCTATTTAAGAAAATATGAAAAAGTAAAAAAAAATTATTATTGCGATTAAAAAATTTAAACATTGCTATGTAAAAATTTAATGCCGGAGCGATCATTCCCTTCTAGCCACCCTTAAATTCGTCTCTGGTGGGGTTACAACTTTCTAACCACCATACTCATTAAATATTTTATATAATTATTTGAATAAAGTGTTATTATAATAAAGTGATGAGCAAAAAAAAATGTAATACAGTTGAGGATCTGTTATAAAAACACCTTTTTATTTGAATGAGCAAAAAAAGTTTTTAACTCCAATTTATATTCCTTCATTGTTTAGTTGCAGTCAGGGTACTTGCACCTACTGTACCCCTAGATACAATTCTGATTATATTTTAGGAGGACATGGAAAATGACAATGAAAATTAAACATTAATGTTAAAATTAATGTTCTAGATCTGATTCGATACTGGTATCGATAGAAAAATTTTTTATTCTGATTTGGCTTCTAAACATTAAAACTATAATCCACGTAATAATGAATGAGCATCTTATTCTTTTCTATTTTGACTTTTTTATAGTAACAAATTAAGAAAATTACTAAATATATGCTCTATCTTCAAGTTGGCAAAGTAAATAATTTCAAATATCATAAGGTGTGTTACTTCAGAGTGGGAGCAGATTTAATTCATATTGTCAAGAACAATTAAGATTAAATTGTTTTAATATTTTTTAGTAAATTTTGTTAATGCAGTATAGACAAAATTTACTAAAAAATATTACATGATCATTAGTGATTACACAGAATACAATTTTGAAATATATTTTTCAGAATCAAGAAACACTGATTAAATTTTTGAAATTTGCAGTTGTTAACAGTGGCGTTTTTTTTGCTTTCGCCTACTCCATTATCACAAATCAGCTGTTTTTAACTTACATTATATTCTGTATTTTACATCGAGCAGCCCAACCCATCTAAAAGGCTTAACTGATCACTGGTTTCTGCTGTTGGTGTTCAATTTACTTATCTAAACTATTGACTTGTGAGTTAGTTCTTTTGGTGTTCTTCTTTCGATAGATATCTATGAAGAACAGTTTGTTATGATATAACGAGTTCACAATAAAACTGATAAAGTCATTTCTACAATTAGTAATAGTATTTTTTGAATTTAATTATTAAATTGATTTAATTCAGCAGACATGTCGGGTAAAGATAAATTACCAATATTTCCATCTCGTGGGTAAGTATGGATGATTTTAATATATTACTGATATTGGGGCGTTGGCTTTAAAATTCAATCAATCATCAAAAATATGATTTTAAAGTATTTTTAGTTACTCTAAATTAATGAATTTATAATTAATGTTCTATAATAATTGATAAAAGTTAGTTATGTTTATCATATCTATTTCATAGTTTTTTTTTTTTTCACATAGAATCTCTTTATTTTGTTGATGCATAATTTCTTTAAAAAATGATTTTAGAAAGTAATTATTTCCTATTTATTATTTTTGATTTTCTGATATATTGAATAAATAATTTATTTATTAGAACATTTTTTTTTTATAGTTCATTAAACTTTCATAAACATCTTTTTTCAAGATATTACTATGAAATTGTTAAATGCATGCAAAATTACTCTTCAATTAAAACTTTATATTAAATATTAAAATTTAATTAAGTATTTCTTGATTTAGTTCTTATTGAAATTTGCACTAAATAATTTATCTGTATTAACTATTAATTAAATCTTAGTAATTTATTTTTATTATAGAGCTCAGACTTTAATGAAGGGACGTCTTAAAGGAGCACAAAAAGGGCATAGTCTGTTGAAAAAAAAAGCTGATGCACTTCAAATGAGATTTCGATTAATATTGAGCAAAATTATTCAAGTAAATGCATATTTAATTAAATGCACAAATACAAGTCTAAAACTAATTTTTTATTGGAAGAGTACAAATAATGTGTTCTTTTAAAAGATATTTTAAAATGATTTAAAAAAAACTAAATATATTTTTTTGGATATTATATTTTATCATAATTTATATTATAGTAAGCTTTTAATATATAGACGTAATTTTTAGTGTACCCTCCAACTGATGTAACAAAAAAGGTTTTACTTGCTTTAAAATAATCATTTAATATTTAAATGTGAATCTTGGGTGTTTGATGTTTTACATCACATTTTTAAAAATTTTAAATTATTAATTAGATATTAAAATAAAATTAATAGATCTCCTAAAAATTATTATTAATTTTGCATGGCTAATTATTTAAAAAATGATAAAATTAACTCTACACTATAAAAAACACTTGAAAAAATCAGTGGATACGGTAATTTCAATGATGATGGTCTTATCATCAGTGCCAAACAGATATTGCTTAGTATCTAATTAGATGTTTTCTTAGTCTTAAATAAAGGAAAATAAGCTGTTTTTAATTGTATAATTTAATTTAAATTTCTAATTTTACTTGGTATGACTATCAAGACTAGACTAGAACCAATATGGACTTAGTGTATCACTTACCCATATTGACAATTATTCTGCAAGGATATCTCCATAATCAAAATTTAAAAAAAATTGGAAAGGAATGTTACATATTTTTGAAGGATCTAATTTATAAAATGAGTATTTAATTTATAACTTGTTTTGCTAGTCAATAGATTCAGGTTATATTAACAAGGTAAATAATTATTTTGTCTTTGCAAAATCAATTTTTGATATTATAGTGAAAAATGTTTTGCATGTAATTTTGTAGTAAAATCACTTAAAACCATTTTATTATTTTAGCTTCAATGCAAAGCTGAGAAGGTATTAATTTTACTATGATGTGTTTATTTTTTTTTTTGTTTCTGATACCGTTTTTTCTCAGCTCTCGCCAAACCGATTTCTTTCAACGATACATCAAAAGATCACAAATCGTATCTAGTCAAAGACATTAAACTCAAAAATTGAAAAAATTTCCCTCGTTCCCCGTAAATGGGGGAAATCTCCAAAAAAATTACAAATTTAAAAATCACTAATTTTCGAAATTTTTTCAATTTTTTTTACTTAAAACTACCATAACTTTTTCAAAAATGAACAAATCAATATAATTTTTTTTTTTTATAGATGCTTGATGTCTTTACCTGTCATTTGGTATATTTTTTTTATAAATTTAACCCTTTACCAGACCACAGAAGGGAATTCAAAATGACAACTTTCACAACTTAACTTTTGAAAGTGTTCCGGAAATACTGACACTTTTATATATATCTTAAATTAAAGCTCATGTAATATACTTTAATATTAAAAAAAAAAATGTTGGACTTTATTTTGTCTTCATGGTGAAAATAACTACCATATTAAAAAATATGATATTTTTGTGTTAAAATTCTTGGTTTTGTATTTTATTTTATTATAAGGGGTTTACACTGATTTTCATAAATATTATATCAATGTAAATGACATAGTATAAAAAGTTAAATATATTTCAATTTTTTTGTTTCTTTGAAGTCAAGAAAAATAACTTTAAAATTTGAACTAGCTAAATTTTTATTTTCATTAAGTGACGAATGCGACGTACGGTTTCTGAAACAGTAACACTTGGATCTTTCACGCTTGTGGCACTGAACTTTTTCTTAATTCTTTTTGAGTTAGAAAAAAATGTTTAACTCATTTGATTTTTATCTCATTTAGGTTCAATAACTTCAATAAATATCAAGGATCCCATTACTGTAGTCTCCTCTCGTTAGAAGAAATTCATATTAATATTATTTTATTATGTGGTTTTTTTTTGTAGCTATCATTTATTTTCTCAGCTTTCACTTGATCTACTTTTTTGACAATTTTTTTTTTTTTAATTAAACATTATCTACAGATTTACATTGAAGCGTTTTTTATGATAGTGATTTTAATCACTGTCAGATATCATCTATACTGGACCCACCCATGCCACGACCTCACTGTGCTACCACCCTACTGTGCTGCGTTTTTTTTTTTCATTATTTTATGTAAAAATATTTTTGTTTAAGTACTTTTACATTATTAATAATCAACATTAAAAGATGAATGAATAATTTGCATAGAAAAAGTTACATATTTTTAACTAATATTTAGCATGAATAGAATTTGTTTTCTTGTCTTTTTTTTCAATTCATAATGCAATGTTTGATATCATAAAATAACACAAAAATTTAAATTTTCATAAACTTAAAAATTTTACTGATGCTTTATTAGTGAACATAATTAAGATATTTTTTTAATATTATTTTTCTTAAAATCTACAAAATGACTATCTTAAAATTACAGTTTTTGTTAATTTAAATTTTTTTAATAAATTAAAATATACAGTAAATTATGTTATTTGTATAGTACTCAAGTATAAAAATTATTTAAAAAAAAAATATTGTAAAATATTAATTAGATCAGAATTTATTGAATTTCTCACTCACCTTGTATATAATAATTATGAAAAATGATATATACTGGATATTTAGGTTTAGGTGATTTAGATTGAGGTTCAGGCAGAAATCTCAGATTTATTGAAAAACCTACAAATAAAATCAAGGTTTTTAGGGTGTGTTCCAAAAAAATTCACTGGGTTTACTACAAACCTATTGCTCAAATATTTTTTTTTTTTTTTAGAAAAAATCTGGCATAAATAATAATGCGAGTGGTTTTAAACAATAAATTAACACTAACATTAAAAATATATGGATTTGATTACACCCATACATTTGTTTTCTTGTAAGATTGGCTTTTCAAAATTTAATATGTAGATTAGGTTCTTGTATCTTAGAAAAAGATCTTAACATTAACACAATTTAAAATGAAAGATTTTCAAAAATTGTATTTTTATAAGTGACAATTATTTTTATGTTTTTATAAAAACATGAAATTTGTCACAAAGTGATTCAAGCATGCTAGGGATCCCTTTAATCAGATCTTGGTGACTATTATCTAAATTAGTGAACATTATGTCAGTTATCTTTCAGTTTAAATAATGTCATAATCCAAGTTTTTACTTTTGTTTACACATTCAGTATAATTAAAAAATATATTTTTATAGACCAAAACACTTATGGGTGAAGTCATGAAAGAAGCTGCATTTTCTTTAGCTGAAGCAAAGTTCACTACTGGCGACTTTAATCAAGTTGTTCTACAAAATGTAACAAAAGCTCAAATCAAAATTCGTACAAAAAAAGATAATGTAGCTGGTACTTTAAAAAACATTGTTAACCACAATCTATTATTAATGGATTGTTTACTCTAAATTATGTAAAACTGTTTTTTTCAGGTGTGACTTTGCCTGTTTTTGAAAGCTACCAAGATGGAACAGATACATATGAACTTGCTGGTTTAGCTCGAGGTGGTCAACAATTAGCAAAGTTAAAAAAAAATTATCAAACTGCTATTAAATTATTAGTTGAATTGGCCTCCTTGCAGACATCTTTTGTTACTCTAGATGATGTTATAAAAATAACAAATAGAAGAGTGAATGCTATTGAACACGGTAATAAACTATGAATGTGGATAAATTAGATGTTTCATTTAAAAATTTGTTTACTTAATATATATTCAGAGCATTACCTTTAATAAAAAAACATATATCTTAAAGTAATTATTTTATTTGTCAAGTTAAGGTTTTATTATCTTATTACAATTATATTCTATTAATTATGCTGCTGGTGTTTGTATAAATATTGAGCAGTTATTTTTATTACATACTGAATAATATTTTATAATTTTCAGTTATTATACCCAGAATTGAAAAGACATTGGCTTATATCATTTCAGAGCTTGATGAATTAGAAAGAGAAGAATTTTATAGGTAAATTTATGATTTTCTAGCTAGCAATAGCTGTATGACGAAAATATTTTCAATGGTATAAAAATTATGATAGTTTCATAATTTGTACAGTTTTGGACTATGTTAAAAACATATTTTTTATTATTATTTTCTTTATAAGAAAAATATTAATTAAATTTTTCAAAGTTTCAAAATAATCAAATTTTACCTTTTATTTTACAAAAAATTTGATGTACATTCTAATACATAGAGTGGTTATGTAATGCAGATGGAGTATGCGTTATAAATATATATTAATACGGCCTTTCTAAATCAAATTTATGAATTTTGAAAATGTTCCAGAATGTCTGCGTTTTTCAAATTATACCACATTAAAGTTAATTTCTGCGAATAATTGAGTGATATATGATAAATAGGTTCCCTATATATATCCTGCATTACATTTTTTTAATTTAAGATAAGATAAATTAAAATTAAAGTATTTTGAAGAAATAAAAATAAAAATTAAAAGTATTGTATATTTAAAGAATGAATAAATTGAAAAATCTATTAGTATTTTGGCTGAAAGTTGACTCTGTCTTTTAGTGTCTAAAAAATTTTTTAATGTACATAAAACAATAAAACAAAGAGATTTTAAAATATGAACTTATTCACTTTTTACATTTAAAACTAAAATAAAAGTAATTCTTCATATTTAAAAAATAGATAGACTTTTTTCTAATACCTCAAAGTACAATGAGATATTTTTATTTATTATAGGAATTTTATATAAAATTGATTAATAAAATAGATTTAAGATATTCTAAAGCATAAAAATAATTTTTTTACATTTCAGGTTAAAAAAAATTCAAGATAAGAAGAAGATTGCAAATAAGAAAAAAGAAATACTTAAACAAGAACTTAGAGATGCAGAAGAAAATGTTGGAAACATGTTAGATGAAGGAGATGAAGATTTATTGTTTTAAATAATTTTTATTTTTATGTTATTACATCAAATTAATTTATAAAATAGATTTTAGGAATTTATTATACTGAGATTCCTGAGAAATAAAATATACAATATGAATTTTTCAAGAACTTTTATATTTCTAGTAAATTACTTAGTTAATATAAATATAAATAAATATTTTTATCATTGGTTGATGCAATATTTGTATGTAAATCAGTGGTAATGTACATTTTACTATTATATTTTCAGTTACCATTATAATAGTACTTTCATTATTAAATGTGCTTCTTTAAACATGCAAATTTTATAAATTAATACTCTAAGAGAAATTATGTTTTATTAATAACATATTACTTTTTAAATTTATTTTTAAGTATCATATTTGGTATTTTTAGCAAAGAGATTAAATCATTCAGTTCAATTGTTATAAATGTTTCTCGAGTATTATGTAAATTTGATTATTATAAAATTTTCATTTTTCATTCCAACATTCCAAAAAAAAAATAAAATATAGTTATTAAACTAATGCTTTTATTAATTTATTTTATTTTATGTAAGTTGTGTATAAGTTATATGGTTTACATTTTTGTTCATTTAATATTCTAGATTTTATTATAGTATAGATTTTTATTATAATTTGTTATTTTTTGTTCAAATTGGAGTATTTGTCCTTAATTAATTCTCTTTATTCATTTCAAAAATATGTTGATTTTCATTGTTACGTGTAACTATTAAAAAGCAATGATCTTTGTTAAAAACGTTTATATTTTTATTGTGATCTATGTCATATATTCTAGAATGTTGATCTAATCGAATTGGAAAATTATTAAAATTTTACTAAAATAACTAAATAAATTATTTTGTACAAATAAGAATGTTTGATATAGTTTAAAATGGGATTTAAGTATACATCCATACTTATAATTTTATGTTAGGGAAAATAAGGATGTGTGTAAAATTGCGACTTTTGGAAAAATGAAATTTAAACTGTAAAAATTAACTGAGAAATTTTTTTTTGTCTTTTTGATATAGGAACAATACATACTTATTAATTAAATTATTTTCATACTATATTACCATATTGATCATTTCAAAACTTTGAAAAATATATTGGTTAAAATAACTATTAGTTTAACATTGAAGTTTATAATATAATAATAATAATAATATTGCCAAGTGTGATATTTTTCTGACAAAAACGAGTTAAGTCAGTTTTTTTGTTATACATAAGGGTAGAGAAGTCAATATGAACCATTAAGCACAGAAATATAATAAATGTAATTAGGTGATAAGCGATATATATTTTGTGCAAACTTTTTAATCCCATTTTTCACATGTGAATAATAATATTAAAAATCATTTTAAGATATTTCTCGTTATGGCAAACGTAAAAAAATTTTCTTTAATATTTTAGCTTCGATGCGAAGCTGAAAAGGTATTAATTTACTATGATGTGTTTTTTTATTATTTTTTTTTTTGTGTCTGTTACCACTTTTTTAGCTCTTATAGAACCAATTTCTTTCAATAATACGTTAAAAAATCACAAATCGTATCTAGTAAAAGACTATTTCAAAAATTGAAAAAATTTCCCCGTAAATGGGGTAAACCTACAAAAAAATTACAAATTTTAAAATCGCTAATTTTCGAAATTTTTTCAATTTTTTTTTACTTAAAACTGTCTTAACTTTTTCAAAAATGAACAAATCAATATAATTTTTTTTTTATAGATGCTTGATGTCCTTACCTATCATTCGACATACTTTTTTTTTAATCGGACCATTTATCTATATACGAAGTGGGGATTCAAATCTGAAAAATACATATAAAAAGTAGAACTTTTTCAACTTAACTTTTGAAAGTGTTCCGGAAAGTCTGACACTTTTATATATGTCTTAAATTAAAGCTAATGTATTGTACTTTATTATGGAAAAAAAAAATTTCGGGCTTTATTTTGTCTTCACGGTGAAAATGGCTACCAAATGCTATTTTTGTGTGAAAATTCTCGATTTTATTTTTTACATTTTTAAATTTATAATGCTATAATTTATTGAAAAGTGTAGGATCAATACAATTTTTTTATGAGAAATAATATTTATATCCCTTTTTCATTCGACATACTTTTCTTTTAATCGGACCATATTAATAAGGAACTAGCAGATCATGTAGCTTTTGGAATAATCCACCAATTTTTTAAAATTAAACAATATCTAGAAATTTGCATCGAAACATTTTTTTTATAGTGGTTTTAATTACCGTCAGATGTCATTATACTTGATCCAACTATGCCACGTCACCAATGTGCCGCGACCCCCCTGTACTGGGTTTTTTAATCTTATTATCACAAATTTGAATTTTTTTACTTTTCTCCTTTCTCCGATGTTTGAACGCAGTGCCCAGTGGTGGTGTTCACGCGGGTTCGTTAACGTTCGTGGTTTTGTTTTGTCTTAAATTTTTAGCTATGTCGAGGATAAAGAATAAGGTGAGTGGACTGTATGTTTGAATGTAGAATTAATTTCACAAGATATAATTATAACAATTAAATGTATTATACAAGAAATATAAAATCTTATATACACCAATGAGGATAGAGACGACACTTAATACTAATGCCACAAAGGCGCCGATATAAACAAACAATAAATTATACAAGTTAGTAAGTCTTAGAAAGATAGATGAACAAGTATTATACTATTAGCTAAATGAAACTGCTGATGATAATGATGAACATGAGATTGTGGCGGACCTGGATGGCTCGCCTGAGGAAATTTAATATTTATTTGTTGTTCGGGTTACTGTCTGGACTCCCAATTGAGCAATCCACACAGAGTCCTTCAAGATGTGTATATGAGGTAGTGATTATGTGTATAGAAATGAATTTAACACTTTCAAAGTAATGCTGGTTATAAATATTATAATGTATTATATGATATACATTAAGTTACAAAAGAAACGTAACGTATATATATAAAGTAAACTTTCATAATAATACTGCAAATATTAGAATATGTTTTACAATTAGTGTTTATTCTGCAATGGTAGACACTAGACTAACTAATGCTGAAAAATATTGATATTGAAAAAGTCAAGGGGACTTCCGCATGCGTACTCCCGGCGTCGGAAGATGAATTAATCCAAAATTTACAAGAAAGAAAAAAAAATAATAATAATAATAACAAAAATCATAATAATAATTTAAAATAGAAATGTGAAGTCTAAAGGAGAGTAAATATACAAAGGTACTCGACAATCTGCGGTGGAAACAAAACAAAACGAAGACTATATGAAATTGAACGTTGTACTTTGACTAATGACGAGAAGCGCAATAATAGATAATCGTCAGACAGTGTGCCGCGGACAACAAGTGATACGGATTTAATGGGTTTTACGCCAGGCAAATGGGCAGTGCTCAAAGGCGTAAATTTCGAGTGCGGCCATTCACTTCAGGTAGATGTAAAAATGATGGACCGTTCCAATGAACATTACACTGTACCATTGCATTAGGCAGTAGACCACGAGACGAAGGATCAGCTGGATTCTCGGCTGTACTAATATGCGACCAACTGCAACCTGGTATTAATTGATGAATTTTCGCTAATCTATTAGTCACAAACATTTTAAAGTATTTTGCATCAGTGGTGATCCATGATAAAACTATCGATGAGACCGTTATGCGCGAATCTGTGATATGGTAACGTTTGGTGATAAAACGGGCTGAACTCTAGTTGAGCCAGTAAAAGAGCGGCACACTATTCGAGTCTCGGTATTGTTAATGACATGTCTTGTTTACTAGACTTCAATGGCGCTACTTTGGTTTTACACGTAATAAAATAATTTCTTATTTGTCCCGAACGATAGGTGACGCGTAAATAAACTGTGTCCGCATAACCAATCAGTGAAGCGTTCCAAAAACCTACCAGCTGTATATTATTATAATTAATAATATCAATATGTCGATTTAACATATTACATTACAAAGTGACGGCAATTCAGCGGCGAATTGTGTACCACTGCGTACGTAAATGAGGAAACAATGGCGCATCCCAATCAAATTGGTCTTGCCATAGACTTGAATAAAACCTTTGTCCCATAAAATAATAGGACCCAAATCACCAATAGCATCAAACAATTTGGCAATAGTAGACAAAACACCGCGTTTCGATAATGGCGTTTCTTTAATATTTGTATGGTAGCCAAAAATGTCACTTTGAGTGTTCCAGTGTAAACCTAGAACTTTGACAGTTGACTCATCTTTTGGGTGAGTCAATACCCGACAACCATCGATTTATTATGTAAAATTGTGAAATAAAATGAATAGTGTTTAACATATTTTTACTTGTTAAACGATAGAATGGTAATTGACTGTGAAAATTGACGTGAGTGTATGATTTTTGTTTTAGTGTAAAACAAAAATAATATATTATGCTCAAGTATAGTTTGTAGCTGAAACAAGTATTTAATAGCATTATTTGTATGTTTCACGTACTCAATTGTATCATAGCGAACGTGAACAAGTTTTTAATAAGTGTTCAAATAATGTTTTGTTATACTGAATAATTTTTTTTTCGTCAGTTCCTTTTGTAAAATTTAGTGAATACAATATACTTTTACTTTATTTTTATTCTATTAAATAACATATTCTAAAGTTTTAATCAATTAAGATATATGATTAATATAATTAATATAACATTTAGGATAATATACGGTTACTTTTACAAATTTAATTAATAGCATAAATTGTTAAAAGCCTATATTATTATGCCTGCCTGCAAATGCTATGATAGGCCTCGAACCACCCAGCGAAATTTTTGGTTTGTTATGCTGATTTTGTCACTATTATTCATTATTATATATTTTGGTTTGAGATCTTTATTTATAAATCATCAAGAAAAAGTTACAAATGTTTCTGAAACTACTAATAATATCAATCATTATGAAGTACGTATCTGGTTTGTGATATTATTATAATTAATCGTATTTATTACTTACTATACATTATTTTTTTTTTCAAAAATTTGGTAACGTAAAATAAAGATGAGCAAGACAGTAGCTACAATCCCAATATTTACCTATTTACTTATAATATCGTTACGAAATTGTGTTATTTATAGTTACGGAATTGGAAGCTCTTAAATATTGAACAATTATTTTTAATTATTCAAAATATGTCCTAAAAATTTTTATTATATTATAAAAATAAACTAAAAGTTAACTTATTTTCTCATTAAATAAATAGAAATTTATTAAAAAAAAAAGAATAGCAAATAAACTATTCAAATGAATAAATGAATTTAATTTGTCATATTTAACTACAAATTTAATGATGAATGACCATATTTTATTTTTGTTTAACTTAAACGACATAAGTTTTGATTCTGTACAAATATTTTAATTTTTAGAATTATCAAATTATATATAAAAAGAAATAGGTATGTAGGTTTCATTTTTTGATCATTAGTTACTTAATAAGTTGGATATTTGTAAAGAAATTAGTGGTTGTCCTAAAATTTAAAATGAATAAATAAAATTAAACCTAGGTTAATATTATAATATGGAATATGAGACGAATAGAATTAACATTTTATTAAAATTGGCATTGGAAATGTTTTTAATGTATCTTAATTAATTGTATAAAAATTAAATAGTGGTTTATTTGAAAACTTTAGGAGTACATATGAAATTATAAATTTTGTTCAGTTTTTCTAAAACGGTGTTATTTTTTAGGTCAGTAACAAACATCCCTGGAGACTTAACAGTAAGAATAATGAAAAATATTTAATTTTATGTGGAAATTAATATTCGATATTTTGCATTTCCTAAAATAATTTTTAAACACAAACATATATAAAAACCTACCCTCGGCAGAAATGTATTTTATATAATTTTAATATATATTTTGGTGTTCAACCAAGTAATTGTTAATTTTTCAAAGTCAAATTTTAGCAATATGATATACTATATTTTAGAAACTATAATGGAAGGACGTAAAACGTTAAATAATTATAGCAGACGACTGGTTTGGCCAGAAGAATTATCCAATGGTGACAGAATAATGGAACAAATATTATTTGTTCCTTCTAATTATAACCGCGAAACGGCTCCAATTAAGAAAATTCTACTTTATAATGGAATAGGGTACTCATGGGAAATACCTAGACTTGGACAAGAAGAGTTCATAGATTGTCCTGTGAGCAGTTGTTCAATGACTACAGATAAATCTTTAGCTCCTTTAGTCGAGGCCATACTTTTCAAGCATAAGTATAATGGAAGTGAGCATATAAGGCCTCCTAATCAGGTATTAAATTTTATAAATTTTTATTTTATTTTGTTATACAATAATATATAATAATTTGTTTGAATTTCAGTGAAATTTTATACATGAAAATGAGGTAAGTGCGCGATGCTAAGTTTTAACATGATCTGTAATCAAAACTCTTAAATTCATAATTAAAAAATAAATATTATTACTATATGGAAACAGTTTATAAATTGATCAAAATTAAAATAATAAACATTTAATGGTTTAATTTAACATCTAAAAATCATAATGGTAATAACAAAAATGAATAATTGTAAAAATAAAATTAATTTTGCCAAATTAAATATATTCAATTAATCATAAATATTATTATAAAAAATTGCGTTTAAATTTAGGGTAATAAATAAAGGAATATATTCACTTTCTAAGAAACAATTGGACATTTTTAATTTTCATAAAAAATATAATTGTTTGATTTAAAGAACTTCGATAATATGTAATTAAATAATTTTTTAGTTGATCCTGAAAGTTAAAAAATCTGAACTTTAATTTTCTTTGATGGAAACTACTATTTTAGTTTAATAACATGACGGAAAATAATTAATTTTGTTCTTATAATTTTTGTTATCCAAATAAATCGTTTGTTAAATAAATAAATAAATAATTCGTTAAGTATAAAATAGTCGTTATTTCTTTATGATGTCACATAAATAGCTTTTTATTGACAATTCTTGTTATCATATCTGTTATTTACGAAAAATAAATATTGATAATAATTTATGGTCCATTAAGTAAGATTATTGTTATCTAAGGTATTTTAACAGAAAAATGTGAAGAAATGCTATTTTATAGCCAAACTTAACAGTTTAAAGACGCAATAGGTTAATTGGATAAAAAAAACCAGAAGAACAATATTGTATGAAATAAATTTTTCCTATCATATTATCAAACTAAAATAAAGATTTTTATTAATTAAAATAAAATTTTAGGTTTTCTATTTCTAAAGGGGAATATGAAGTGGGTCGCACTGAAGTAATGCCTCACGGCAGTTCCAGGGCGGCCCACACTAATGCCGGTCGTGAAAAAAAAAAAGGGGAATTTGAAGGGATGGAAAAGTTATTTAACTAAATATTATTGAAGGTTTTTTTTTTAATAGAACAACATTCTCTTTTACAAATATTGAATATATTCAATAGTTTCTGAGAAAATAGATGTCTTATTATCCTTAATGGTTCATTATGTATATATAAATTTATAAGTCATTTATAATAAACTATTTATGATTAGTTCAATATATTTCATACAATAAAAATGAGTTAACATTTAGTATTTATATTTCTTTAAAATATTTATTTTTGTAAAATAATATTTAGGTTTTCCCCTTAAAAATGTTAAATAAATTAGTTATATAAATAAAGTTTATTACATGTATTAAGTATTATAAAAGGTTTTTAAAAGTAGTCGAGCATCGTTTAATACTTTTTTCGCCATCATGTTAGTAATTATATCGATAATATAAAATATTTAATAAAAATGAAGAATAATGTTAAGATGAATTACTACTGTACAAAATTAGTACCCCTAGCACAACATTTTTTATCTTGTTGCCTTAATAAATAATTTATGTTGCATACTTTTCACGCAATAATGAACATACATAGGTAGAAGTATTGCCCCTTAAATACCACACATCATAATATTTGCATTTAAACAGCAATACATGTTTTAAATATGATATAGAATTATTAATACAAAGTTTTAAACATCTCAAGTTTTATTTTTTTATTAGATTTGGATAATTTACTTTACTGAAGGACCATACATTTCGCCTATATTCCAAGACAACAATGTTTTCAACTGGACTGCTACTTATCGAATGGATAGTGATATACCAAATCCTTATTCTTATTGGTATCAATACAATGAACAAGAAATTAAAATTCGACCAAAAGTGCCAAAAAAAAATTATGCATCGGGAAAAATTAAACAAGTAGCATGGTTTGTTTCAGACTGTAAGCCATTTAATAATCGTTCAGGATATGCACACGAACTTTCTAAGCATATATCAGTAGACATTTATGGCAAATGTGGTCCGTTGAAGTGTCCTAAATCAAACAAATGTTTTTTGATGCTTAAAAATACCTATAAATTTTACTTGGCTTTTGAAAACGCTCATTGTATGCATTACATCACCGAAAAACTGTATACAAATGCATACAAGTAAGTTTTTAATTTTAATGAATCTCATTATAAACTTGTAATATAAATGTTATTTCCTAATTACTATTACCTCTAAAAAATGTTTTCTGTTAAAAAAGTTAAATTCATTTTACATCGTATTAAAAAATAATTATGAACATCTTAATACATAAAATTTATATATTAATTTATACTCTGTATATATTTAATCTATACAGAGTAATTTTTTTATCATAATCCATTCAATTACTCACAGAATAAAAATAATTTAGACATTTTTTTTTTGTTACGCTTAGTTGTACGTTCAGTAAGTAAGGAAACAGGTATATTGTTATAAACAATGAGAACAATAGAAACCAATTTATTTTATAAATAAATGACTTTTAATTTTTAACATAACTTTATTCGTTTATTGGTTTTAGCTTCGATGCGAAGCTGAGAAGGTATTGGTTTTACTAAGATGTGTTTTTTTTTTTTTTGTGTCTGTTACCACTTTTTCTCAGCTCTCACCGAACCGATTTCTTTCAATGATACGTCAAAAAATCACAAATCGTATCAAGTCAAAGACATTACCCTTAAAAATTGAAAAAAATTCCCTCGTTCCCCGTAAAAGGGGGAAACCTCCAAAAAAATTACAAATTTAAAAATCGCTAATTTTCGAAATTTTTTCAATTTTTTTTACTTAAAAGTGCCATAACTTTTTCAAAAATAAACATATCAATATAATTCTTTTTTATATAGATGCATAATATCATTACCTTTCATTTGGTATATTTTTTTCATAAATTTAACCCTTAACCTGCCCACAAGGGGGGATTTAAAATGACAACTTTTTCACAAAAAATTAATTTTTTTAACTTAAATTTTGAAAATGTTCCGGAAGGTCTGACACTTTTATATATATCTTAAATTAAAGCTAATGTAATATGCTTTATCATGAAAAAAAAAAATTTCGGACTCATGAAGATAATCATGGTGAAAATGGCTACCGAATGCTATTTTTGTGTGAAAATTTTCGATTTTGTATTTTCCATTTTTAACTTTATTATGCTATAACTTTTTGAAAAATGTATGAATCATTACAATTTTTTTATGAGAAGTAGTATTTATATAGATCTTTCATTCGACATACTGTTTTTTTAAATCGGACCATTTCCCTAAATACAGGGGGGATTCAAAACATAAAAATGCATATAGAAAGTAGAACTTTTTCAACGTAACTTTTGAAAGTGTTCCGGAAGGTCTGACACTTTTATATATATCTTAAATTAAAGCTAATGTAATATACTTTATAATGGTAAAAAAAAATTTCGGACTTTATTTTATCTTCATGGTGAAAACAGACATTAAACTTAATAAAAAAAATACGATTTTTGTAAAAAAATTCTTTTTTATATTTTTAACTTTATAATGCTATAACTTCTCGAAAGATGTATGGATCAATATAATTCTTTTTTTTGTAGATGCATGATGTCTTTACCTATCATTTGGTATATTTTTTTTATAAATCTGACTTTTTACCTGCCTACAGGGGGGGATTCAAAATGACAACTTTTTCACAAAAAATTGACTTTTTCAACTTAAATTTTGAAAGTGTTCCGGAAAGTCTGACACTTTTATATATATCTTAAATTAAAGCTAATGTAATATACTTTATCATGGAAAAAAAAAATTTCGGACTTTATTTTATCTTCAAGGTGAAAATGGCTACCAAATGCTATTATTGTGCAAAAAATCTCAATTTTATTTTTTACATTTTTAACATTATAATGCTATAACTTATTGAAAAGTGTATTGATCAATATAATTTTTTTATGGGAAATACTATTTTCTAATAATCTCTTTTTTATTCTACATACTTTGTCTTAATCAGGATATTAATAAGGAACTAGCAGTTTATGAAGCTTTTGGAATAATCCACCAATTTTTTAAAATTAAACACTATCTAAAGATTTGCATCGAAGCGTTTTTTTTTGATAGTGATTTTAATCACTGTCAGATATCATTATACTTGATCCAACTATGCCACGTCACCACTGTGCCGCGACCCCCCTGTGCTGGGTTTTTTGTTAAATGTTGTTTTATTTAAAGAAGACACTTTTACAAGGCTTATGGGATGAACTTAAAAAGTACTACATAGTTAATAATTCAGGAATATTATGTTACTAAACATAACCAAAAAAAAAAAAGATATATATATATATATATATATATATATAT